CGTGGCTGTCCAGTTGTTTCAGCAATGTTTATTGAAAAGACTCTTCTTTCTCCCATTGAATGGTCTTGACACCCTTGTCAAAAATCAATTGACTGTAAATGTGAAGGATTATTTCTGGACTATCAGTTCCATTTGTCTGTATGTATGTTCTTATGCCAGTACCACATTGTCTTGATTACTGTAGCTTTGTAGTAAGTTTTGAAATAGGGAAGCATGAGACCTGCAACTTGTTTTGGCCATTCTGAGGCCCTGGAATTTCCATACAAATTTTAAGATCAACAAAAGCCACTGGGATTTTGATGGAAATTGTGTTGAATCTGTAGATCTATTTGGGGAGTATTGCCATCTCAACAATATTAAGTCTTCTGTCCATAAATATGGAATGACTTTCTATTTATTTGGGTCTTCTTTAATTTCTTTCAATAATTTTGTATAGTTTTCAGAGTATACATTTTACATTTCTTTTGTTAAATTTAAGTATTTTATTCTTTTGGTGCTATTACAATGGAATTTTACTTTTCATGTTTAGTTTGTCCATTGCTACTGTAGAGAAATGCATATGATTTTTGTGTATTGATCTTATATATTGCAACCTTGCTGAGCTAATTTTAATAGTTTTTCATGGACTCCTTAGGATCTTCTACATGCAAAATCATATCATTTGCAGATATAGTTTTACTTTTTCTTTGCAATCTGGATGCCTTTTATTTCATTTTATTGCCTGATTGCCCTGGCTCGTACTGCCAGTATAGTGTTAAATGGAAGTGTCAAGAGCAGATGTCCTCATTGATGGGGATCTTAGGGGAAAGCATGCAGTATTTCACCATTAAGTATGGTGTTAGCTATGGGATTTTTGTAGATGATCATCGTCAGGTTGAAGAAGTCCCTCTTCCTTCCTGGTTGGTTAAATGTTTTTATCATGAAAGTGTGTTGAATTTGTCAAGTGCTTTTTCTGCATCTGTTGAGATGATCATGTAGTTTTTGTCTTTTATTCTGTTGATATGGTGTATTGCATTAATTGATTTTTGGATCTTAAACCAATCTTATATTCCTAGGATAAGTTCCACTTGGTTGTGGTGTACAATTCTTTTTTTATGCTGCTGGATTTCTTTTGCTAGTATTTGTGGAGGATTTTTGTGTCTGTACTCAGATAATGACACAAAGTGATATCAGCCTGTAGTTCTCTTGTGATGTCTTTTGTCTGGTTCTGGTATTAGGGCAACGATGGCCTCAGAGAATGAGCTGGGAGGTGTTGTTCCCTCCTGTTCTGTTTTTTGGATGAGTTTGTAGAGAATTGGTATTAATTCTTTAGATGTTTGGTGGAATTCACCAGGAAGCCATCTGAGTCTGTGCTTCTCTTTGTGGGTAGTTTTTAAATTACTAATTGAATCTCTTTGCTTGTTAAAGATCTGTTCAGATTTTCTATTTCTCCTTGAGTCAATTTCAGTAGTTTATGTCTCTCTAGGAATTTTTCCATGTCATCTAAGTTATCTAATTTGTTGGCATATAGTTGTTTATAGTAGTGCTTTATCATCTTTTTCATTTCTGTAAGTTTGGAGTAATGTCTACTGTGTCATTCCTGATTTTAGTAATTCTAGCCTTCTCTCTTTTTTTTTTTTTTTTGAGGAAGATTAGCCCAGAGCTAACTACTGCCAGTCCTCCTCTTTTTTGCTGAGGAAGCCTGGGCCTGAGCTAACATCGTGCCCATCTTCCTCTACTTTATATGTGGGACGCCTGCCACAGCATGGCTTGCCAAGTGGTGCCATGTCCGCACCCGGGATCCGAACTAGCAAACCCTGGGCCGCCGAGAAGCGAAACGTGCGAACTTAACTGCTGTGCCACCGGGCCGGCCCCCTCTCTTTTTTTTCTTTGGTAATTTTAACTAAATTCAATTTTCTTGCTCTTCAAATAACCAATTTTTGGTTTTATTGATTTTCTTTATTGTTTTTCCTTTTCTGTTTCATTAGTTTCTACTCCGATCTTTATTATTTCCTTCTTTCTGCTTGCTTTGTGTTTGATTTGCTCTTTTCCAGTATTTTAAGGTAGAAGGGTAAGTTTTTTATTTGAGAGTTTTTTCTTATTTTAACATAGGCATTTACAGCTATAAATTTCTCTCTAAGCAGTGAATTAATTGGATCCCATAAGTTTTGTATGTTTGTTTTCATTCGTCTCAAAGTATTTTCTAGTTTCACTTATGATTTCTCCTTTGACTTATCAGTTATTTAGGAGTGTGTTGTTTCAACTCCACATATGTATGAATTTCCAAACTTATTTCTGTTATTAATTTTTAGTTCCACTGCATTATAATTAGAGAACATACTTTGTACAATTTTAATCCTTTAAAATTTGTTGAGGCTTATTTTATGGCCTAGCATATGGTCTATCCTAGAGAATGTTCCATGTACACTTGAGAGAAACGTGTATTCTGCTGTTGTTGGGTGCCATTTTATATAATCAGTGTTCATTTATATTTAATCATGTATTGATTTTTTTCCCCTTTTCCATTCCATCTTACCTCTCAGATAATTTTCTTTCTGCCTGAAATACTTCTTTTAGTATTTCCTATAATTGAGATCTGCTGTTGGCAAACTGTCTTGGTTTTGGCTTGTCTGAAAAAATGTTTGTTTCACCTTTGTTCTTGCAACGTGTTTTCAGTGAGTATAGAATTCTAAATTTGCAGTCATTTTCTGCTCATAACTGTATTCTTGCCTCCATTGCCGCTGTTTGAGAAGTTGGCTGTCAGTCTGACTGCTGCTGCTTTCAAAGTGTTCTGTCCCTTTTCTCTGTCTGCTTTGACAATGCTCTCTTTGTCTTTACTGTTCAGCAGCATCACTAGTATATGGCTCCTTAGAGATTTTTTTCCCACCTCAGCATTTGTTGTTGGACATATTCAATCTATATTGGAAAATTTATCAGTTCTATAAAATTCTCAGGCATTCTTTCTTCAGATATCACTTCCACCTCATTATTTTCTCTCCCATCCATCAGGAATTCTAATTAAAGCATACGTTAAGCCTTATTCTTTCCTCCATGGCTCTTTATTATCTTAATATTTTCCATCTTTTTTTCTCTGCTTCATTTTGGATGATTTCTTCTGATTTCTTTTTCAAGGATAAGTTCTTTGTTTAATCGTGTCTGATATACAGCCAAGAACATCCATTGAATTTTTAATTTATCATTGTATTTTTAATTTCTAAAAGTCCTATCTGGTTCTTTTTCAAATCAGCTAAATCATTTTTTATAGTGCTCTATCCTTTGCAGATATTTTCAAACTTGTCTTTTATTCCTTTAAATACAGCAATCATCATTGTTTTGTAATGTGTGCCTGTTAATACCAGTGTCAGACTTATGTTTAGGTCATTTTCTGCTCTGTGTTGTATCTGTTGCTTCTCACGGTGCCTCATTTCCTTGTACACGGGCTGTATTTTATTGTGGTGCGCATTGACTTTGAAAAACTATTTGTATGGGATTCCCTGAAGCATAAGGTGAATTCTCCAGAGAGGATTTACATTTGCTGTTACCACGTGTCTAGATAAATGTTGGTCTTAGGCCACTTTAAGCTAAATCCATGGCTTCAAGTATCTCAGACGTCAATTTTCTTGGACTACAGTTCCCGGTGGGGATTAGCACTTGGGTTTCTAGCACCAAGGCAGCTCTTCCCAGAGCCCCTTGAGGGTGAGGGGAGGAGGCTGTTTATCCATGTTCACTCTTATCCGGAGAGTTTAACCCTTCAGAGTCCCAGCTTCATGTATTTGTGTGTGTGTGTGATGGTGGTGGAGCGGTGAGGAGAGGTCTATCAGATTCCCTGCCTCGAGTGAGCCCTGGGCTGTCACTTTCATCCTCCTTGCTCTAGGGCTTGGGCATCAAAACCTAGTTTAATTTCATAACATTTTTTTCCACAAGGGCAAATGCTATTAATACAGAAGTGTCTTGGGGTGCATCCATACTTCTCCAGGCAGGGACAGCAAGTACAGTTGTTCAGGTTGCGTACTGAACATTGGGATCCAGTCTAAGGGAACACCAGTCACCTACAGATATGTCTATTTTGAAATTTTTTATTTTTATTATAACTTTTGGTTCCAAAGCTGGAGGGTTATTATATTTATTACAATAATTTTGCAGTAGATGACAGTTAAGTGTCTTATTCTAGTAAAATCACTATATTATGACAATTTTGCTGACAGCTGGAAGTAAAATGTCTCATTCTAACTGGGTTTTTCCTCCTCTGCCTTTATGTGAACTTCCCAGGGCCACCCAAGGCTTTGCTTCATCCCTCCAGGAGGCTCCTGGGGACCACACCACTCCCTCCTGCACCCTGGTTTTCTTGCCTAAAGCTCTCTTTTGCTTTCAGCCTCAGTTTCCCCCTGTGCCTGAATTCATGTTCCCATTCCACCACTTGTCACACATTTCCTGAGGCCGCTACATGCTCGTGTACTGCTTTGCGGCAGGAAGCAGAGACATGGCTGCTGCTGTCTTGTCCAGTAGGGGGAGAAATGCAGGGAACAGAAGTGAACTCATGGTGGGAAGGGCCTGATGATGTCCTGAGACGATAGGACAGAGAGAAGGGAAGCAGCCTGCTGGGTATGGGGTCATCCCAGGGCTGGGGCAGGCAGAAGAAGGCAGAGCTGAGGCCTGAATCAGTGCCTCGGACACCAAGTGACCCAACTCAGGGGAACCTAGGACCCTGAGCCTTGCCAGATGGTGTTTGTAAAACACCTTTTTAAAAGGAAGATTTGAAGAGCTTATCTGGATAAACATGCCGGAGCAGATGGTTTATTTTTTTTTTTTAAAGAAGACAAGAGCAAAAAATGGATTAAAACACCCATAAATTGTCATCACCTGGTCCCAGAGATGCATACAATGGGGTAATTGCTGCACTTGGGTATTCTGGCAAGTCGGAAACTACAGTTCTGACAGGCGTCTGCCAGAGAGCGAGTTTGCTGAGATTAAATTCCCATGGATCCTGGAGTCACCCCATGTTTGTGTTTGTCCCCACACAGGGAAGCTCTTTGTGTTGGAGTCTCAGAATGGCTCTCAGGGCCTGGAACTGGAGGCGGCTCGGCTTTCCTGCAAGAACAGGGATGCTCGCCTGGTGTCTGCGGATGAGCTGCGGAGAGTGGTCCAGGATTGCGCCTTCGCGGTGTGCACCACGGGCTGGCTGGCCGACGGCAGGCTCGGGTAAGTCAGGCGAGCTGGGGGAAGCTCTCCTTCCAGCTCACCCTGACTGCCCCACCGGGGCTCATATGGGAGCTCAATAATTGTTCTGTTGAGGTGCCAGGATATGCAAAGTGCAGTGGGCAGTGCATTCTTGTTTTGAGTTTTTATATAAAAACATTTTTCTGGAGTTCTGTCAGTTTTTTCCTCCTTACTTTGTTATTTTGAATTTCCTTTTTAAGTTACAAAAATAATGCATGCTTGTTGTAAAAATTTCAAATAATACAGATATGAATAAAGTACAAAGTGAGTTTCTCTCCTCTTCCCCACCTCGGAGGTAATGACTCATAACTGTTTGGTATATATTTTTTATCCCTTTTTCTCTGCATACATATGAATAGGAAGATGGTGTGGAGATTTTAAAATATGGCCACAGATTCTTTCACATTGCTGTCTTCGAGAAGTGGGGTCTGTGTCCATTTAAATCAGAGACAGCATAGTATTGCCTCAAATGATAAAATGCAGCAGAAATGATGCTATGTGACTTCTGAGGTTAGGTCAGAAAAATCTATGCCCAGATTTTTGGAGACACTCACTTTTGAGGTGCCGTGTAAGAATTCTGACCATCCTGAGGAGGCCATGCTGTGAGGAAGCCCAGGCTACATGGAGATGCCCCATGTAGGTGCTCTCACCAATAGCCCCAGCTGATGTCCTGGACAGTAGCCAGCGTTAACTGTCAGAAATGTGAGTGAAGATGCCTCCAGGTCATTCTAGCCTTCAGCTGTTGAGTTATCGCCAGCTCATGAGTTTTCTCAGCTCAGACCCTAGACATTATAGAGCAGAGACGAGCCACTCCCACTGTGCCCTGTCTGAGTTGCTGACCCAAATCCTTATAAAGAAGTACATCTTCTAGCCATCTAGGATAAAATTTCCCAGAAGTGCTGCTAACTGCTTCTTTAGTCATGCTCAGATGACAGGAGTCTTTCCACGTTCTCCTTTATGCCACAGGAATGTGAAAGAGTAAAATGGGCTCCAGGAACTACTTTGGTTGATAATGACTCTGAAGATGTCTGGCTGGCAGATGGCCATGGAAAATACACACAGCCATGCTGACTCATGTCTCATACTGTGCCACATATGAAACAGCAATTGAATAAAGAGGACCATTGAGGCTACATCCAGAGCTTTTCAGTGAATCTGGAACTGTGGCCCTCTCTGCCTTATATTTTACATCTATGTTCCTAAATAGACAAAATAAGTCTTGTGAATGCACACTTCCATAATATAGTCAAGTATGGATATTTTTAATAACTCTGTTACTATCGTTGCTTCAGATAATCAAGGTATTCAGAGATTCTGAAGAGCCAGCTTGGAGCCAGGCTTAGGGTTCCCAGACATTACAAGTCGTGGGTGGGTCATTGGAAAGGTCTATCTTCTCTGGGTTTGCTATAAGATGTTAGGACATATTAGTGGATCTCTCCATTGCTGAGTTGATATTTCTTTATAAAGCAAACATACTTACTTGATATATTTACTACAGGAAATATTAAAAATTGTCTTCCCATTTTAACATTTCTGGAACCAAGAAGTATCTGACAATTAGTAAGTACATTTCACCATGAGTTTTCCTGCACAGGCATCCTCCCTCCCCACCAAAACCCAATTATTAAATGCATGGTGCATCTTACAGTTGATGGCGTAGTAGGCATATAGTAGGTCTCATCTGTATCTCATGAATTTATGTTGAATATACACATAATTCCAGAGAAGGATGGAGGTCTAGAGTGGTGAATCCAAAATTTGGAACCACTTCTTTGGTGTGAGCTTGTGCAGATCCCATAAAGGGTGGCTGAAAAGCTGAGGAGCAATTTAGGTAGCCTTGGGGGACTTGGAGGAGAGGGATGTGAATTCAGGTTTTGTGTAGGAGGGGGCCTGGGGAGCCCTTTTGCTTTGGGTTAGAACATTGTAGGGCTATACCCCAAGAGTAAGAGTAAACCAAAAGAAGTACACAGGCCCTCACAGGAACTGCAGCATAGCTTGAAATCCTTTGAAGTCATGAAATTGGATTGAGATGATACTGGCATTCCCATGCTCCAGATAGCTAACAGAACTGAATTTAAAAAATCCTCTCGCAAGGAAGATAACATTATCCTAGGCAATTTATCTCCACAATTTTAGCAAGTATAGGATTTGTCATACAATATAAAATAACCAGTCACATGAGGAGACAAAGGAACAAGAGCAAAAATAAGGAGAAACAATAGTTAATAGAAACTCTAGATATTAGCATTGGTAGATGAGGACTTTAAAACAACTGTCTTCAAAATGTTCAAAGATACAAAAGACAAGAAGGAGAATTTTGGCTGAAGACTGGAAACTATAAAAATAACCAAATGAAAACTCTAGAAATGAAAAATACAATAGCTAAAATTAAGAACTTAATGGACGGATCTGCTTAAATAATTAAAAGGAGCCAAAGAGAAAACTAGTGAACTGGAAGATATTTCATAGGAAGTATCCAGAATAAAGAACAGGAGAAAAAACAAAAACAAAAAAACATACAAGAAAGGGTTAAAGGCAAAAAAGATGCATGTAGTTGGAATTCCAGAAGAAGAGAAAGAGGATGGAGCAAAAGCAATATGAGACTTACCCACAACTGAAGAAGAAAATCAAGGCACAGATTCAGGAAGCTCTACAAAGCCTAAGGAGAACAAATAAAAAAAAATTCACAACTTGACACATCATGGTAAAACTGGTAAGAATCAAATATGAAGAAAAAAATATTAAAAAGTAATAAGAAGAAAAAGAGAGAGTACCTTCAAAGGAGTGACAAAAACTGACAATGAAAGTCCAAAGACAATAGATGACACCTTCAAAGTCCTGAAAGAAAATTACTGCCAACCTAGAATCCTATACCCAGTGAAAGTATCTTCCAAGAATCAAGGTAGGGGCCGGCCCAGTGGTGCAGTGGTTAAGTTTGTATGTTCCGCTTCTCGGGGCTTTGGGTTCGCTGGTTTGGATCCTGGGTGCCAACATGGCACCACCTAGCATGCCATGCTGTGATAGGTGTCCCACATATAAAGTAGAGGAAGATGGGCACGGATATTAGCTCAGGGCCAGGCTTCCTCAGCAAAAAGAGGAGGACTGGCAGTAGTTAGCTCAGGGCTAATCTTCCTCAAAAAAAAAAAAGAATCAAGGTAAAATAAAGACATTTTTAGACAGACAAAAGGTGAGAGAATTCATTATATCAGACCTGCACTAAAGAAACACTAAAGGGTCTCTTTATGCAGCGGGAAAATAATTGCAGGTGGAAGGCTAGAGATGCAAAAGAGGATGAATGGAAAGAGTAAATATGGGGATAAATTGAATTTATGTAATTATGTAAAGCAGTAATAATAAAAATAAATACTAAAAAATGGTATATACGTCAGGAAGTATTTTAATTATGTTAACATGGTTTTAAGAATTTTAGGTTGTATTATTGGGGAAGAGGGTAAAATTAATATTAAGTTTTAATAAGTCAAGGAAGCATATTATAACTTCTGGGATAACCACTAAAAGAATAGTAAAAAGATAGAGAAAAAAGAAAATGCCAAAAAGAATTCAAACAATTCAAAATAGGGGAAAGAAAAGAGAGGAAGAAAAGAAAAGAGAATGGACAGAACCAATAGAAGGATAGCAGATTTAAATTCAAAGAGCTCTGTGATTAAATTAAGTATAAGTAGATGAGATGCTCCAATTAGAAAAGAAAGATTGTTAGAGGGATATTTAAAAATTGTACTATTTGCTCTTTACAAAAGATATCCCTAAATAAATCATGGGACATAAATATAATGGAAATTAGCATTTATGTAAAACTGAGTAATATTAAAAATACGACATACTCAAACTCATGGGATGCTATACCTAGAGGGAAATCTAAAGTATTAAATGCTTGTGTTAGAAAAGGAAAAAGGCTGGAGGTTCATGAACTAATGATCCGTCTTAAGAAATCTGAAAAAGAACAGCAAAACAAACCCCCTCAAAAAGAAGAGAACTAATAAAGAGAAGAGCCAAGTTTTATGAAATTAAAACCAAACGCTTACTGGAAGAGATCAACAATGCATTGCCTCTGAAACTTGAATTAATACACATGACCTCAACTTGAGCATCACCTCTGTCTTCCTGATTTTAGACCTTTGTTTCAGGAGAGTGTTTCCATATCGATGCTTCCAGCCAAAGCTCCTGAATCAGAAAATCTCTGCTGATTCAGAGCTGACAGCAGAAAAGAATTGTTCTTTCCCAGTTTTGGTGAGTTCTCCTAACCTTGTGTTTTCTTTGTTTCAGGACAACCGTGTGTAGCAAGGGGAGTGGGGAACAGCAAAGCTTGAGGGCTGTTGACGTGAGAATTGACAGTACCCCTGTTCCTGGCGGCACATACAATGCCCTTTGCATTAAGGATGAAGGTCAGTGCCAGAGTCTTTGTAAAGGTTCTGGAAGGCGTCCTCTTGGGAGTTGCCATCTTAGGTTGGGTTCTCTAGAAGCCACCCTTGAGATGAGGATTCACTGAACATGGTTTATCAGGAAGTCTTCCAAAGAGAAGCCAACAGGGCAGTGGGTCAGTCAACAGGGAAAGAAAGGGACCAAGTGGCAGTACAGTACTACGCAAAGTCCACGGTGGTGGTGAGGTGGGGAGTAACTTTGGCTCAGTCCCTCCGGGCATCTCTGGAGACAGTGTGTGGGTCACCATGGTTTTCCTGATCGGGGTGAGGGAGCAGGGGTATTTATACCACTGCACCTGTCAGTCATTGGTTAAGGGCTGCTTCAGGGAAATGTAAATTCTCAGGCTCTTCTGGTTTTGGTGTGCCCAGGCAAAGGGTTCCAGTAGCCTGAGTGCCACCCTCCAACAAAGAGGCACAGATGCCCCCCAGGAGGCTCTGAGCATAGGAAGAGCAAAGGTATCTACGGATGATGGGCAGACCCTGGACAGTGTTTGCTACAGTTGCTGATATAGCTTGCCCTCAGTCTCTCTTTGTGGTGGGCAGCACACTAGAAAGAAAGAAAATCCTTTTTCCCCAAAAGGAAATTTATAGGATTTAGAAAACTGCTCCGAGGAAGGAAAATTCACCTTCCTTCTGGGAAATTAGCGGAGTGGTGGGGAGAAAACCATAAAGGAGTCTCCGGGGCTGCATTTCATTTGCACTGAAGTAAGTACACGTTCATTATCAGACACACATGCCGTTGAAAGGGAATGTTCGTGCAAATGGAGAAAAAGCCCCCTGCTTACTCATCACTCCTAGAAGTCAGCACAGGTACTGCTGGGCTGCACTTTGGTCTCGTCTGGGAAGTTTTTTTTTTCTTTCTTCTGCTTTTTTCTCCCCAAATCCCCCCAGTACATAGTTGTATATTCTAGTTGTGGGTCCTTCTAGTTGTGGCATATGGGACGCCGCCTCAAAGTGGCCTGATGAGTGGTGCCATGTCCGTGCCCAGGATCCGAACCACCGAAACCCTGGGCCTCTGAAGCCGAGCGCATGAACTTAACCACTCAGCCACGGGGCCGGCCCCATCGTCTGGGAAGTTTTAAGAAATACTAATGCTTGGGTGCCAGTCCTAGAGATTCTGATATAAGTGTTCTGGGCACTGGGGTTTTTAAAAGCTCCCTAGTGATTTTTAACGTGTGACCCAGTTTAAGAAGTGCTTCTCTAATGCAGAGTTTCCAAACCTCTCTGATGATGAAAAATATCAGATGAACTTGTAGAAATACAAACCCTCAGGCTGCATCCCAGAGGCACCAAATCCTAATTTCCAGGGAAGTGTCAGAGGAGTTGATAAATCAGAGAGCCATAGTGAACCCTAAGGCCCTGACTCATCCCTGTTAGATGTTGATGAGTGATAGGCTTCTCTGCTGCTATGGGGTCTCCCTCCAGGAAGGGCTCTTCCTTTGCTGATTGACATGGGAGAGTGTGTTGGGAGAGTCTCCTGAGATCATCTGTTCAATCAGTCAACTGAAGGATGTGACCTTACCCTGGGGAGAACAATATCTATGGGTTTTTTTGTTTTTGTTTTTGAGGAAGATTAGCCCTGAGCTAATATCCGCTGCCAATCCTCCTCTTTTTTTGCTGAGGAAGGTTGGCCCTGAGCTAACATCTGTGCCCATCTTCCTCTACTTTATAAGTGGGATGCCTGCCACAGCATGGTGCATAGATCCAGGCCCAGGATGCGAAACAGCAAACCCCAGGCCACCAAAGTGGAGCATGCAAACTTAACCACTATACCACTGGGCCAGCCCTATGGTTTGTTTTTTAAAAACCACAGAAGTGAATTAAAATGATACTTTGAATCCCAAACATAGGCAAAAGTTCAGATCCCTGAGGAAGGCAGGACAGAGCCAGAAGAAACACAGCATGACCTTCTGTCCTCAGTGATCTCAAAGGAATAGGTAGGGCTTCTGAGTCTTAGCTCTTTCCCCTGGTCAACAAGCGGTATCAGTTAGCTTTTGCTATGTAACATACCACCTCCAAATGTAGTGGCTTAAAACAACAACTCTTTCTTTAGTTCACTGTGTTTTTGGACTGGCAGTTTGTGTTCTGCTTCTGGTCTCAGCTGGGCTCACTCATGAGTCTACAGTCAGCTGCTGGTTAGGTGCTGCTTCTGGGAGTTGGCTGGCTGTTGGCTGGGGTGATGGGGGCAACTGAGCCAAATGTTCCTCATCATCCAACAGGATAGCCTAGGCTTCCCACCTCAGAGGCCTTCAAACAGGTTGTGTGTATGCAAGTGTGTGCCCCTTTTGCCCACAGTTGTAGCGCATGAAGCCAGAGGTTGGAAATATTCGTTTGCACCCTGTAGGGCACAAAGGTCAAAGCCATCGTAGTGACTCCAAAATGGAGTTATTGCCAAACCAATGTAACATGCCTCCTGATATATTGCACTCAGAGGAACACAACTTCAATTCAGTAATATTCCTGCCAAAAATGCATAACTTGAATCTAACCATGAGGAAACATTAGTTAAATGCAAATTGAGAAACATCCTATAAAATGACTGGCCTGTACTCTTTAAAAAAGCATCATGGATAAGAAAAACAGAGAAAGGCTATGCAACTGTTCTAGATTAAAATAGACTAAAAAGACTTGACAACGAAATGTAACTTGTGATCCTGGATTGTATCCTGGGCCAGGAGAAAATAGCTGTAACTGATGAAATCTGAATACAGATCATGAATTAAATAATAGTATTGGATCAGTGCTTGAATTTCCTGATTTGGGGAACTGTCCTGCAGTTATATAAGAGAATATCCTTGTTCTTGGAAATGCATACCAAGGTTTTTAGGGACCAAGGGACATTATATCTACAACTTACTCTCAAATAGTTCAGAAAAGAATTACAGCTATAAATACATATTCATATGTATGTGTACACTCATATATACGTATGTATATATGATATATGTATCTTCCTCTCTATATAGATATCTATATCTAGAGAGAGAGGAGAATGATAAAGCACATGGGGCAAAATGAAAATACATTGGTAAATCTGGATAAAGGGTATTATGGGAGTTCCTTATTCTTACCATTTTTCTATAACTTCGAAATTATATAAAAACAAAAAAGTTCAATAAAAAGTAAAATGGTCTACATAGTCCTCCAAAACAAAGACAAAAAAAAAATCAAACCCTAAGAAACAGAAAAAACTGTGAGCCATGGGGAGCCAACCTGTGAAGCAAATTCATGATGCCTGTCAACTCCTGTGAAGACTGATACCATTTTAGCGAGCGGGCACTGTGTGTGGTTTCTCAGAGTCAAAGTGCTCAAGGGCTCTGCATCCCAGAGCAGCTTGCCTGAGCCTAGCCTGGCCTCCCCTCGCCTCCAGGTCAACAGGGAGGGGCTTATGTGGAGAAGACTGGAGTCTTGGTCCTCCGAGCCTTATTTGTGAGGAGGCTTCAGGTGGGCATGAAGGAGACTCAGGAATGCATGCTGAGGGCTCCTCTCTCTTGGGCTTTCTAGAAAAGCAGGACAGATTCCTCAACTCAGAGAGAGCTCTGTCCCTGTTCTTCTGCCTTTCATCCTTTAGAAAGAGCATGTAAACTGCTCCCACAGGGCCCTCCGCCCTGCTCAGTGGAGCCTTTGTTGACAGCGCAGTCAACAAAGGAAACCTGTGTGCTGAAGGAAGGTGCAGCGACTTAGCAAAGCCCAAGAGAGCAAGCAGTTCCTTGGGTTCCTGCAGAGTGTAGCTGAGGTCTGGTTCAGCATACGCCCCAGTGCAGTATCATTTCCAAAGGTTGCCCTTTTTCCGATGATGCTTCATGGCGCTTAGCTCTGTGCTGCTGCTTCTCTTTGGTAAGAAAGGAAGAATGAAGAGTGCTAACTCCCAAAATGGCGGACATGTCCTCATAATGAGCACAGAAGGAAAATAGAGCCTGTGGAATGTTCAGGCAGCTTCCTCCTGTGTTTCTTTTTTGAAATAAAGTTCATCATGACTGTAGACTTTTCTCCATTTCCTTCTAGTATTTTTGTTTCACTGACAGTGAATTTCCAGCCCTGTGGTGATCTCACTTAAACTAATAAGTGAAGTTATTTTTAACCAACTGGATGCTGATGAAATAAGCTGCCTCCATTTGGGTTCTCTGGCTTTGCTTCTCTTGGCACCTTGTCAGTGGGGTCGATGACTTGGAGTCTGGAGACTTCAAGTCTCGTCTCACCTCTCTTTTGCACCCACGAGGCCCCGCTCTGGGTCTGCTTCTGTTTCTCCCTGTCTAAGACAGGGCTGGCCTGGCTGCTGTTCCCCACCAGCCCACCTCACCTTCTGCATTCCACTTCTCCTGCATGCTTCACTGTTGCCTATAGCTCCCTTAAGAACAGAAATGGAATGATTCCCTTCCTTTATGTCATCAGGAAGAGAGCTGGATGCTCACCTCCTTGAGAGCGATCAGGAATTTTGGAGAGTAGTCAATTCCCAGGTCTGCCTGGAAGAGGCCCCATGCCTCAAGATTGGCTTTGGGGAAATTCTCCGTTGTGATCAGGAGACTGGAACCAATTAATTGCACTGCTTTGAACACCTGATAGCATTCGTTTAGTTCAGGGTCTCCCAAAGGAGTGTGGAAGACTGTGAGTTCATTACCGTTGACCTGGCATTGGCCCTTTGTTTATTTATTTGTCCAGGGTAATGCAAAGTCCAATGCTCAGACTTGTGGGTACTTTAGATAGATAGGTAGGTAGGTAGGTAGATAGATAGATAGATAGATAGGACTTATCTCCACCCCCAAGAAGTTGACAGTGTATAAGGATAAGAGATTAATGTGTTTCCGTGACACAATGGAGGACAGTAATTAGGGAGACTTCCTAAGGCAGTGGAATCTGAAGGATTTTGTTTTGTGGGAATAATGGGTAAGGCAGGGAGGAGAGGACATTGGAGACAGGAGAATAGGGGAAGCAAGGGATCCCAGTGGTTCCGGAGAGACTAGCTCTGGGTGAGCTATTGTATTAGTGCTTCAGGAGAGTGAGTCAGGTTCAGAACATCCCTGGGGGCTCCAGTAGCTGCCAGGCAGGTGTGAGGTGGCTGCAGAGGGCAGTCCAAATACACACCATCACAGTAAGTACTGATGCCCTCTCCCCTGCCACCCACACACCCAGGCTTCGACAGCATCGGTTCTTGCTTTCCCAAGACTGAGCTCTTCCATTCTAAAACAGTGGGCTAGATCAGACCTGATGCACAAACAGCCAGTTCCCAGGAAGGCCAAGTGTCTGGGCAGCCAGAGAAATGGCGCCAATGGTTCCTTAGCCCCTGGGGCAGATACCTCTGTGATATCTCTGTAGCCTGGGGCTGTAGGCACCAACAACCTGGACAGATTCTCCCCTTCTGTGCTACTCAGAAGACCTGGGGCTGCACTCTGGACCCATTGGCGTGTTCGGCTAGTTGTGTTTGGCTTTCTGGAATGAGATAAACGTGAGGAGGAGCCCAAAGCCCGGCCTCACAGACACACACATGAGCTCCCAGAGCTGAGTACACCAGGGGCAACTTTGTTCTCAAGACTTGGAGGTGCTTAACTATGTGCTGTTCCACAATAGCCTCTGGACCTGCAAGAGTCACTTGCTTAGTGACAGTCTGTCATTAGCTTTCCTAGAAAGTGTCTTTATGGGGCTCAGAATTCTGCAGAAAGATAAAAAACACAAAGCAAGGTGTGCTCCAGATAGAGGAAAGACCACACAAACATTTACAGAATATCTACCAGAAGGACTTATAATACCCCACCAAATCCTCCAGCAGCTTGTGTAGGCTCAGAGTTAGAAGTTGCCCAAAGCCACAGTTAGCAATTAGGATGTGGCTCTTTCTGACTCCAAAGTCCAGGTTTTCTGCCCTGTCACACAATGTACCACAGGAAGCGACGCTTTCTTGAGCCCACGTCGGGGCACGTGCACCCACGCAGCCCACATTGCGTTGCAGAGTAGCAGTGAGTGAGCAGCTCTCCTCACAGAGTCGGGTCCCTCTCTTGTGTTTGCCTGAGGCCTCCAATTTCCAGCTGCACTTCTGTTCATGCTTAAAAAGAATGAATAATGTACATTCCATGGCCCTTCATGTCTCCTCTTTTGTTGGTGAAGATGAGCTGAGAGAAACATCGGGGATGTGGGAGGAACCTGGCGCTGGAGGGGAAGTTCAGAGGACGACCTGGTGGCTCAGGGGAGGTGGGCCTGGACCGCCTCGGTGGTGGTCAGAATCCCCTTGACTATGACATAGGGTAACACTCAAGTGCCTTCCCTCCTTAGGAGCCCATGATCAAAGCCACTCATATGCAATTCGGATACAGAGCGCTTCCTTCTTTCTGTCTCCTGGCCCCTCTCCGTATCCACCTAGGCCTGACCTGCCTCAGTTTACTCAATAGTAAGGTCATTTAAAGGCCTGTCTTCCCGGACATGGGGACTCACGTCCACACAGCTAGCTCTCTTAGTGTGACTTTTGGGCAGCTCATCAGCTTACAGCACACGTTTGACTCTTCCTCTTATCGTTTCCCTCCAGTAAAGCACACACGAGCATTCTTCTGTTTGTAGAGGCTGAGGGTTGCAGGTGTACTTTACAGATCGAAAGTGTTTAATGGAAGAAGCAACACTTGTCTGTGACGATAGACCTAGGAGGCCTGGTCTAAATTCCAACCACACCTGTCTCCCTCGAACTTCAGAATCTCATTTAGTACAACTGATTCCACCAACCACGGAGGAATTGCTGGGCGGGGTTACTGTCAGGAGAATCCTCAAGTGGAGAGACAGCGCTAATGCCTTCCAGGAGCCTGTTTGGGGAGAACCAATGGGTAGAATTTACCAAAATAATATTATTTTAAGATCACATAATGGTCCTCCTCAGAGGGGTCAAACCAATTACTAGCATTACTGCCCATCTTGAACTCAGCTGGGGGCTGAGAGAAGCGTCTGTGATGTCGTCAAGGAGAGTGAAGTGTCTGCAGGAGGGAGAGGGCAGCTGGAGGCTGGGTAGACCATCAGGGGTTGAATCAGAACTGCTTTCTAAACCCAAAATGCTAATGGGGTCACCTCTGGGCAGTGGAAGGGGCCGATCTTGGGGAAGGGGTGTTTTCACTTTCTACTTTTAACGCTTCTGTACTGAATGAATTTCTTACCATGATCACAAAAGAAAGAAAGGAGGGAGGAAGGAAGGAAGGAAGTGGGAGAGGGAGGGAGAGAGGAAGAAAGAACTAGCAATTAGAATGAATGGAGTGAGAGCTATGACATGGAGATCTTCCAAGACGTAGTGTGCAGGTCTCAGAATAAGTATAAGACATCCAGTTCATGCTTTAAAAACACTTATTTTGTGCAGGCAAGAGCTTGGTGTGTTTGGGAAAGTGTGCCTGGATGGTTCAGGCAAGGGGAGAGTGGTCCAAGATAGGGCTGGAGAGGTCGGGAAAAGAGCTAGATATGCAGGGGTGAGAGAACTGGACTGACTTTTAAGGGAAAGTGAGAAACTGTTGTGGGGTTTGTGGATAGGAGGTGACTTTTGACCATTTTCTCAAGATCATTCTGGCTGCCAGTGGTGCAGTCCAGTAGAGGAGGAACCCCCAAACCTGTCCTCTGTGCAAAGTGCTCTGAGCCCCTTGTTTATGACAAGAAGGTTCATCGGAGCTGAACCATTGTGTGCTCAGAGGAAACAACCCCTGGAACACAATGGTGCACGGTGGTTAGTCCCGTGGACTCTCTACCCAGAATCCCTGGGTTCGAATCTTGGCTCTACCGCTTACCTGCCTTGGGAATAATATTAGAATCCAAGACATAAAGTTGTCAAGAGGACAGAATGGGTAATGCAAGTAAATCACTCAGCCCAGTGCCTGGCGCAGAGTGAGACCTCAGCAATACAGTATGAGCTGTGACTATGATTAGTTTCTAGCACACATGAACTCTAACAATACAGAGTGATCATAGCATGGTTTCTTCCTTCACCTTGATGTCACACTATTTCCAATCAATCAACCCATAATTTCTTTCCAAATCATTGAGCAAAGTTTAGTATGCATGTGCCATGCAACTGAGCAATTCCACACCTAGATATTGACCCAGGAGAAACTTAGGACCACAAGAACCTGGGCACACAAATGTTCATAGCAACTTTGTCATAAAAGCCAAAAACTGAAAGCAACCCAAATGTCCATCCACTGGTGAATGGATCAAACAATTGTGGTCTATCCACATCATGGATTACTATTTGGCAATAAGAGTAATGAAATATTAATACATGCTAAACATGGATGAATCTCAATAACATTATGCTAAGAAGCCCAGCATAAAAGGTTACGTACTGTATTATTCCATTTGAATGAAATTCTAGAAAAGGCAGAACTACTACTGATGGACAGTAAAACAGTGGTTGCTTGAGGTGGGGTTGCAGAGGGCATCCAAGGCCGAGGGCGAGGAGGAAATTGTTTAGGAGAGGTGTTCTATACCTTGATTGTGGTGGTGGTTACACAGTTGTATATGTTTAGCAAAAATTATTAAGCTGTACACTTAAATTTGGTGAATTTTATTTATATAAATAAAATCTTAATGAAACAGAACAAGAAAAAATCATCAAGCAGCTTTACAATTCCAAAATTCTTTCTTTCCAAAGCTTTCCTGCATCTATCATCTCATTTAATCCTCAGAGCAATACTGTAGGGAGGAGATTATCTTTCTTTTTATTCAGATGAGGAAACTGAAGGACAGAGAGGTCATGCGGCTCCTGGGAGGTGCAGATGGGAGCTGTCACCCACACGCATTCCTGTCCTGCTCTTCCCAACCCTGTGCAGCAGGTCCCAAGACCCAGTCAAGCCTGATGCTTCCATCTCTACCACTTCTGTTGACCCTGAGGCTGCACCTCTAATAATAGACTTGGCATGTGCTTCGGACTTTTGACTTCAGGAAGAGAATAATAACTAACATCTGTATAGCATCCACAATGTTACCTGTGTTCACTCATTTAATCCTCACAACAACCCTGAGGAAGTTACTGTTATCCTTATTTTACAGATGAGGAAACTGAGGCACAGCAAGGTTAAGTAACTTGCCAAAGTCACACAGCTAGTAAGTAGGGGAACAAGGACTTAAACCCAGACACTAAAGGGCTTTTGTTTTCTGAGGTGCTCTTTTCTTTTTACCTCTGAATTGCTCATCTTCCCAGGGACGGCTATTCCAGCCGAGATGGATAAATCTCATATGAGGGGACCCTGCCTTCAGTTTTCCCAGGACAGTCCATGGTTATGGTGGTTGTCCCACTGTAATGATTGACAGGGCTCCCTCTCATTTTCAGAAGTGTCCTGGTATGGATAATAAATTATATAGTCACCCTAGCTATTATCAATACTTGATCATCAATCAAGGCTTGATGTAGAAAATTCCCTCTGGGGGAGGGTGTGTGGATGGTAGAATAGTTACAAGTGGATCTGTGCTTCACCCTGCTCACTACAGAGGTCCATTGTTGTTGGAAGCAAGACAACCTGACAGATCCAGAAATGCAGCTCATGCCCGTGGTACGGTTGGGGGATCTTTCCTGCAAATCCTCTTGTGTCGTCATTTGCTGCTTTCATGGACCATAGCCCAACTCCGAGAGTTTGCATCCATCAGCAATCCCTCTGTGTTCCCAGTTCTTCTGGCTGCTTCTCACCTTGAACGAAGCTGCTGTCACTGACCATTGTTGCCATATTAACAATGGGAAATATGGGCCCATATCTGATCTGATCTTACGAGCCATTTTGTTTTGCCCTTTCATGGCCACAAATGGCATTTAATTCCTGTTCAGTCATCATGTACTTGGCTATATTTGGTTTATGGGAACTGGGCATTCAGTTACCATGATTACTGGAAGAATGATTCAAAAGATCATCAGTCTCCAACTATTTACTTGGGAAATGGAATTCATTTTTATTTATGTTCCTGTTAAGTTCCAGGCTTGTAGTGGGCACTGGGCAAAGCATAAGCTCATTTAACTTTGGGAACAGCCCTATGAGATAGGTGTTATTAGCTCCACTTTACATATTAAATATATTTTCTAATTATAAACATGAATATGTGGTCATTGTAGTAGAAAGTATAAGAAAATTTAAATCACTCATAATCTGTCTGCCATGAGATAACTACTTTAGCATCAGTCTTTTTTTCTCCTACATTTTTATTTGGTTTACCAAATTGGGATTGTATGGACAAAATTCTGTTTTTTTCACTCACTAATATATATCTTCTCATGGCATTGCATATTCTTCAAAGGATGATTTTTAATGGCTATTATAACAATCCATTATACGAATGTACCATAAATTAAACATTCTTCTGTTATGAGACATTTTGGTAGTTCCATGGTTTTCACTATAATAAATAATGCTATGATTGAACATCCTCATATATATATCTTTTTGCTCATCTTTAATTATGTCAGGCTCTTTTTATAGCTACGGTTTATTGAGAACTATGTGTCAGAAATTGCACTAAGCTTGTCTGTTGTGTACTATTGTGTACAGACATTGTCAACTCCCTATGCGACAGCCACTCCCTCCCCGACTCCCCAACAGTTTCCCCCTCTGAGAGCTGGTGGTTAACATTTATCAGCACACCACTGGTCAGTTAGGGGACTAAGCAAGCAGCAAAGAATTACAAGACAAGTGAAAGGTGTCAACATTTCAAAAGAAAGGGAATTATTTTAAGGAATCAAAACAAATAAAATCACTCGAAACTGTTTAGAAAATCATATTCTCATCAAGCTGTTACTCCATGTCTCTCTCCCCCTCTTCATAGCCCCAGAAATCCTCTACTTGAAATAACGGTCTCCGTTATCTCCCCTCCCATCATTCCTTTATTCCTCCATCCACTGCTTTCTGGCTGCTGTCCCATCACTGAAGTGACACTGCTCTCACCAAGGTTACTGGTAGCTTCCCTATGGCTAAATATAGTAGCCATTTCTCAGCCTGTGTTTTGCTTGCTGTTTCTGTAGCCTTAAGTACTTGACCATGCACTGCTCACTGAAACATGTTTTCCCTTGATTTCCTTTGGGTTTTCTATCTGTCTGGCTGTAGTGGTGACCTTTGTGAACTCCTCGTTCTCTGCTCACCTCCTTGAGCCTCTGACTTGGGCCCTCATCTTTCCTCACTCAACACTCCAATGGCTTCAATTTTCATCTAAATGCTCATTAATCCCAAATCGTTTTCTCAAGCCTAGGTGTCTGCACTGAGTCCCAGATTCTATACATACAGCTACTTATGGACACTTCCCCTGGAACTTCAACCTCTGTGGGTCCCAAGCTGTGCTCATGATGCCTCGGCCTCCCTAGCCCCTCCCTTGGCCCTGATGCTCTCCTGTACCCCCACGTCTTTTCAGTCCTAAATTCTGTGCATTTTTTCTCAGTATCTCCCAGATCCACTTGGTTCTTGCACCTCATTTCAGCTCCTGTCCTGCTATCTTGGTCATCTCCAGTAGCCTCCTAACTGGTCCCCTAGTTTCCAGGCTTGTTTCCTCAATCCGGTCTCCACACTGCAAAGCAGGGCTCCTTCTAAAGTGCTGACGGGATCATGTTATTTCTGTTTTAAACTCTTTAATGGTTCCCCATGCTCCACCAGAAAAATTCCAAACTTCCTACCTAGTTTATATGGTCCTCCATAAACTCATGCCTGCCTGCCTCCCTTGTACTTTATGCTTCAGTCTTACTGACTTAACCCCATTCAAATAATAAGAGAGGCTCAGATATCAAAACACATTTTAAAGCCACGGTAAACAAAGTCATTTGGCACCAAGACACAAATAGACAAATACTTCAGTGCAAAAGGCTGAAAGGACCATAACAGATACGACATACATAAGTATATAGTGCGGGGAATAGTTGAAACTTCAGGTCACTGGGGAAAGGATGGATGGATTATTTGAGAGTTAGTACTAGGTTATCAGTTAAGAATTTGGGAAAATAAGACAATGGATTATTGTATTGATATATGTAGATCTCCTATAGGTTGATAAGAAAAAGATGTGGACCACAGTAGAGAAATATTTTTAAGAAATACAGTTGGTGAATAAATATTCAACTCTTTTACCAATTAAAGATAGGCATGTTAATATAAGAAATCGCTTTTTTGGCCCATGAAACTGTCAAAGTTTACAAAGAATGATGGTCTCCAGTGTTTTGAGGAGAAACAGGCAAATTTATATACCACTGCTAGGAGTGTAGATTCTTAAATACTCATATTCAACTTGGCACAACCTATCAGAAGCTTTAAAAATATATATGCCCGTTCAACCATCAATTCCACTTTGAATATTTTATTCTAAAGAGATTGGCATTGATGAGTACAAAGGTATGTTACAAAAATGTTCATTACTTAGTAGGGAAAAAATGGAAACAAAGTTAATTTCCCAAAAGAGGGGGTCCATTATGGTAAATCCATATAAATGGAATAATATATAGTCATTTACAAATAAGTTCAAATAATACAAATATTTGTTGACAGGGGAAAATTTCACAATATAGTGTTAAATTAAGCTGCAAAACAAAACAGTTATAGTTTGGCAAAATATTGTGTGCGTGTGTGTATGTATGTTTGTGTAACACTGAAAAGGTAAAAACCATGTTAACAGTGGTTATCATTGGTGAAATTAAGGGAAAATTTTTATTTTTCCTGTGATGTTTCTTCCCTGTGAGTTTTTCAAATTTTCTGGCTTGTGTAAGAATTACCTATAGGGACAATTTTAAAACTTTGTATCATGAAAATTTTCAAACAAACACAGTTAGGGAGAATACTATACCAAATCCCCATGTAGCCATCACCCAGCTTCAATAGTTATCAATATTTTGCCAATTTAGTTTCATCTTTTTCTGCCAATGTTTTTCTCCTATTGAGATATTTTAAAGCAAACACTGGATGTTGTATCATTTCATTCTAGAACACTTTTTAAAATAATTTTTTTAGGACGAGAAACTCAGGAACTAGTATTGTGTAGATTCCATGTGATAGTAATTGATTTAGATCTATTAATTGACATGGGGGTTATTTGCATATGAACTCTCCTACATCTCACAAACACTGTAGTGCTTCCTCAGTAGACAGCATGCAAGTTGGAAACCACTATCTTAAGTCATGGATCCTTGTCAAATGCAGTCCCTTTTAGGAGTGGTCGTGAATAATTTTCAACCATTTATATTTCATGCTGAATAAATTGCTGAGTTTTTGGAGGAGAGGTATTTTTTAAGTTACTTCATTGAAGTATAATTTACGGGAGCAAAATGCACAGGTCTTAAGTTGATGAGTTTTGACCAAGTATACACTTGTATAATCAACACCCAATCAAGATAAAGAACATTCCCTTCACCCCCAGAAAGCTCCCTGGAGTCCTTTTCCAAAAGTCCTCCGCCCCTCCCCATCCAGCACAGCCAGAAGCAATCTCTGTTCTGATTCCTATCACTGTGTATGCGTTTTGCCTGTTTTTGAGGGTAGGTTTTTATCTAGAGCAGTAGTTATCCAAGGATGGTGCCTGGACCAGCAGCATCCACATCACCTGGGAACTTGTTATACATGCAGATTCTTGGGTCCTAACTATGACTGGGTCAGAAACTCAAAATACAGCTATGTGTGTGCTTGTGTTACAAGCCCTTCAGGTGATTCTGATGTGTGTTCGAGTTTGAGAACCAAGAATAAAATTGGATGGAGCAGGGAGGGCAATGCTGGTTGTGTATTGGGTGGAGTAGGATGAGTGGGAGCTGGGCAGGTATGCGTGAAAGACAACTTCATAGCTTAGGTTACACCAAAAGGAAGGAGTAAGGGTCAGGTATTTGTGTTAGAACTTCTACCTCTTGGTTTGTGAAATAATAATGGGGCTTTACAGGCTCTTCTTTAGAATTTCAAAAGTCATGTTGAAAGTCTTAGAATTTCTCAAAATAAAAGCATCACTTTTCATATGAGTTTTAAACTCTGTGGAAACACTGGATATCAGAAGCTCTGATTGGCAAGCAAATGTGTCCTTTTAAATCGAAAAAATGAGTCGCTGTTTATTCATACTATTTGTTTGATTGGACAAGATCTTTTATAAAATCTTTTTTCCTTGGAAAGGAAAAAAATAGAATTTGCTCTTTCTGTTGAAAGCCAGCTCTAAGGTTTGAGAAATCCACAAGCCGCAATCCCCACCTGCAGAATAATTGAGAAGTTGCTGTGAAGACTTTCCAAATGTAAGTTTCTTTAGAGAGGAGAGGAGGGCCCAAGTATTTAGCCAGCTATTTTCCATAGCTCCCTTGTGAGTTTCAAGATGGGAAAGTTAGTGAAAGGAACTAATTCAAGTTGCACCTGGATATGAGTGGTGTTTTTGGCACACATTTAGTTGTGTTAGCGCATGGAACTGTTGTCCTGGAGCTTCTGAAATCACACCAGCTAAGAAGCAGTGTGTTTCCTGTCTTGAGCATTTGTGGGAAATCCAGAAACACATGATTTGTGTATCCAGACACTCAGGAGTGTTATTGTGGTTTTCCTGAGCCAGATTCTAGCCCCTGGATTCTGGAAATTAACTCTCAGGAAGAAGATCCCACGAGTCTAGTAGGGTGTGAATTTGGCCTGAAGTTCCCCTTTATCTACTCACAAAGCAGTTACCTGCTCCTGGATTTTCCTTTCAAGAAGTTGGTGTTATGTTCCACAAATAGAGCTGGGTGAGCCAGAAGATATTTACCGGTCCTTTGATAGTGAGTATTGGATGAAGAGCCTTCAGTTCGCGGGAACTAGATCCTGGTAAGAGGAGAAAACATCCAGCATGAGTCATAGGCAGCTGAGGATGGTGGAGAGAGAGACAGAGCCTTTTGCCCCTGAGATACTAGCTGGAATTCGGTCCAGCCTGACTTGACTGAGGCTGATGACTTTGGTCCATTCTTCTCAGGATGCCCTGCTCAGGCCAAGTGACCCCAAGGATGATGCCTCTCTGCTCGGGGGGGGGTGCCCCTGGATTTGTGGCAACTTTCAGATGGCTGCCTGTCCCTACTTGCTGCATAGGTGAAATAAACCCTTGATCTCATGGGCTGTGCAGTCAAGGCGGTTTTGCTTGAAATGCAGCACTCTGCACTGGCTTTCCAAAGGACAGCCACGCTTTTTCATTCAAAATCTCTCGTGTTAAAGAACGTGCATAGCTGTGACTCTTTGAGAAAGTGCTACCAGAAGTACAAGCTGTCAGGCCAAGCAGGGTGGCTTAAAGCACAAGTTGTATTTTCTATTTTCATCTTTTCTTAGCATATATTCTTTTAAGCAATATGCTTCTTAGGTAATTTGATTGCATAAGGACTTAAGGCTCTCCTTTCAAACATAAAAAATTAGAAGAGGAAATTTGAATTAAAAATTATTTCCTTTTTTTCAAAAAACAAAAACAAAAATTTTTCCTTTTTTTCACTGCATCACTTTGAGGCAGCAGATCCCCTTCTAGAAGTTTATCCTAATGAAATAGGATATGTGCAGAAAGGTACATATGAGGCTGTTCATAGTAGCATTGTTTTTAATAGTGCAGATTTGGAATCAGCATAAATGTCTGTGTAATGATTAAATAACGTGTGCTATAGTGTAGCCTTTCAAAAGCTTGAGGTAATTTTTAGTACTAATGTGGAAAGAGCTCTAGAACATTAGGGGGGGAGAAAAGGACTTCTTGTTTCTGGTCCAGGATGTAAGGAAAGAAATTGAATCAATAATTAATAACATTCCAAAACAGAAAGCACCAGGCCCAGATGAGTTCACTGGTGAATTCTACCAAATAAGGAAGAAATTATACCAATTCTCTACAATCTCTTCTAGGAGTGAGAAGCAGAGAGGATACTAACTCATTTTTTGTGGCCAGCATTACCCTAATACCAAAATGAGACAAAGACATTACAAGAAAAGAAAACTACAGACCAATATCTCTCATGAACATGGAGCGAAAATCCTCAATAAAAATATTGGCAATTTGAATCCAACAATATGTAAAAAGAATTATACACTGTAATCAAGTGGGATTAATCCCAGGCGTGCAAAGCTGGTTCAGCATTCAAAATTCAATTACTGTAACCCGTCATATCAAAGGCTAAAAAAGAAAAAGCACATGATCATGTTGATAGACACAGAAAAAGCATTTGACCAAACCAACACCTATTCCTAATTAAAACTCCCAGCAAACTAGGGATAGAGGAGAACTTCTTTAACTTGATAAAGAACATCTACAAAAAATGTATAGTTAACATCATACTTGATGGGAAACTTGAAGATTTCCCGCTAGGATATTTTTTATATTTTAAATGCAGTTTATTCTATCTATAACTACCTCAGAGGAGGCAGTGGGGGAGGGGCTTCAGACCACAGCAAGTGCGCCCACTGCTGCCCCAGATCTGTAACCATTAACCTCGTTCCTCAACTAACACCATTGAAAGTATCGTTCCACATCATCGGGCTGTGTGTTTGCTTATGTGCCGTGGACCACTGAGCCCAGGGGTGTCACCCGAGTGGAACTCAAGGGCTCTTGCCAATGTGGAAGGAGGAAGGCTTGGGCCCTCCCTGCCTTACTTTTTGTGCTCCCTCACTGGCCAAAGCCTTGGCTGGGCCCCTTAGTGGCTGCTTCTTGGACCAGCCACAGGTTTTTCGTAAGCAATTTACAAGTTTTAATACAATCCAGTCTACGTTCATTCCTAAAAGGCTCATTTCCAGTAAAAAAGAAAAATATGCCAGTAAAAACATTCTCACAGGAGGACCAGGGCAGGGTTAGAAAGGGGACCTGGGCCATATCCCCCAAGAGTGACTCCCGGGGCCAGCTTGAGGGCAGGCCCAGGAAGAGGTTCCAGGGCAGGGACGGGCTCTTCTCCATCCGCAGATCCAAGCCTCAGGCTCCCCTGCAGAGTGGACCCGACTGTAAACTATGGACTTGGGGTAATAATGATATGTCGATGGAGATACATCACTTGTAACAAATGTACCGCTGTGGTGCTGGATGTTGCTAGTAAGGTAGGCTGCGCATGCGTGGGACCAGGGGGTACACAGGAGCTCTTTGTACTTTGCATTTAATTTTGCTGTGAACTTAAAACTGCTCTAAAAAGTAGTTTATTTTTTTAAAAAGCAGGTACTCAGTAATACATATGATGTAATCCCATTTATGTTAAAAGCCACACACACACAGAACTGTTATATATCTATCCATCTATGTGTGTATGTATATGTGTCTGTATCTATATGTATCTATATCTGTATTATTTGTATATACCAAACTGTTACCAGTGTTACTGTCAGGGTTGAGGTTGGGGGAGGGGAGAGGCACCATCTCTGTACTCTATAGTCTGGAACAATTTAGCTTTTGACAGAGTAGCCCTTTGTCACTTATGTAAATAAGGCAAAAAAGGGGCTTGCTGCAAAGCATATGTCTCTGGGTCCCCCTTTCAAGGAGACATTACAGGGTAAGGCTGCCTGGCAATTTTAAAATACAACGTTGTAGCGCTTTGCAGCACATTCATTCACTCAACAAGTATTTTTGAGTGCCTCATTTGTGCCAGGCATTCTGCCAGGCCCTGGGGATGCCAGAGTGAAGGGGAAGCAGCCCCTGGGAGCCCTGTTCAGGGTGCAGGCGGTACCCAAGGAGGGGAGAGTTGCTTTTTAAGTTTGTCTTTTCCCAGAGTTTGGGAAAGCTGATTGTGATCCTTCTCCTCAGAGAAGCCGTGCGGAGACCCGCCTTCGTTCCCACACACCATCCTGCAGGGACGCACCGGCTTGGAGATGGGGGATGAGCTGCTGTATGTGTGTGCCCCGGGCCACGTCACGGGCCATCGAGAAACCGCCTTCACCTTGCTGTGTAACAGCTGTGGGGAGTGGTACGGCCAGGTGCAGGCCTGCGGGAAAGGTAAGCCGCCCCGGCTGGGCCACCTCCACCTGCCCACACACTGTGAGCCACGCAGCTCCACTTCTGCTGGTGGCCTGTGGTGGACTCTTCTCCACAAAAGTCCCTTTCAAAGAGACTTTCAGATTTTTCCCTTGAGTTCTGGACCTGGCAACATGTCCGCTTGGGCGTTCCTACCGCGTTTCAAAGGCCATGTATCCACAAGTGAGCTCTTCGTTTTCCATGCTGGGGGTAAAGGATGAACAAAACCCTCTCTTCTTCAGTAAGGACAGAGTTGACCTTGGGTTAACGTTCTAGCTTGTTTCCCTGGAAACCTGATCAACATGGCCTGCCAGCTGTGGTACCAAGCAACCATGCGTAGGGTAAAAATGACTCCTGATTGGTGAACTGGGCTGGGAGGGCTGCCATGAATACAGGAGAGGAACCCCAGCTTTGGGCTTCCCTGGGTGTGGGGATTCTTGTGACTGGGCATGATCCTTGTGGGGACCCTGAGAGCTACGCTATGGGTTGTGACAAGAGCTGTCATCTCTTGTGGGGCACGGGGCTTGTAAACCAGGGTGGATCCACAGCCACACATGCGAGTCCTGTTCCCTTGCACCCGAGCCATCATAGGGGTGTCGGGGGCGGGGGGAGGGAGAAGCAGGGAGAGTAACTCCAGGGCAGCCGTGTGGACTGCTCCTACTGGTGATGATTGCCTGTCGCGTGCTGCTGCCTTGCTCTATTCCCTGGCCTGTAGCCTGTGGCTGTCGTGAGTCTGAATGTTTAGTTGAGACTAAAAAGACTCCTGGTGGGCATTGAGCTCCCCAAACCTGATCAGATTCTCCCAGATGTCCCCATTCCCTTATTATCACATACCTGGGGGTCCCAGGCTTCTGCATCCCACCTCTCCCACTATCGGAAATCACCGTCTCCAGCCACAGCCAGGCCTGGCCTCCCCCATCTCGACCTGGGCTATGATTCCTATGCCGTGGACCTCCTGCTAGACCCTGCACTGTTCCTTGATCTCACAGGGCTCCTCTCACCCCAAGACTCCTTCAGGGACCACCTTTCTGACCCCCTACGACATCTGGGTATGGAGCGGAGCCTGGCTCTATAGAGGGGAATGACTCCAGCACCACAGTGTTAACTGAATTTTTGGGACAGTTTGTCCCTAGAATGTCCTGCAGATCCCCTGGGGGAACCATGAGGAGACTAGGGTGCTGTCTTGTATGCAAGATTCATCCACATTGTTGCCTGAGGTGTGGCTTGTTGTCTTCACTGCTATTTACTATCCATATTGTGAATACACTACCATTTATTTCTGCAGTCTGCTGGGAGACTTGTGGCTTGGTTTCATTTTGTGGCTCTCACAACTTACGCTGCCACAATTGTTCTCATGCATGTCATTTGGTTCAGATGTGAACACCTTTCTGTTGATTCCTGGGACTGGAATTGCTCACCACAGCATAGGTGTGTGTTCAGCTTTAGTGGATGCTGCCGGAGAGTTTTCTAAAGTACAGTGTTTGGAGCAGTTGACTCTCCCGCTAGCTGTGTATGACAGCTCTTGTTCAGCATCCTCACCAACCTTCAGGATTGTGAGACTTCCCCCCCCCCCCTTTTTTTTTCTTTGGTGAAGAAGATTGGCCCTGAACTAACATGCATTGCCAATCTTCCTCCTTTTTTGCTTGAGGAAGATTAGCCCTGAGCTAACAACCTGTGCCAGTCTTCCTCTATTTTGTATGTGGGTCGCTGCCACAGAATGGCTTGATGAGTGGTTGACGAGTGGTGTAGGTCCATACCCAGGATCTGAAGCTGCAAACATGGGCTGCCAAAGCGGAGCATGCCAAACTTAACCACTACACCACAGGCCAGCTCTGACACTTTTGCCTTTTTGCCAATCTAGTGACTACTCCAGGTGACTTGTAGTTGTAACATTCATTTCTCTGGTTGAGCACTTGTCACGTGTTAATTGGGCATTAGCACTTCCTCTGTAAAGTGTCCAAGCTTTTGCCCATTTTTCTAATTGATTTGAATTGATTATTTACATAATGTAAGATTTCTTTTTTACATAAAACTTTCTTCATGTGTTGCAGATATATTCTCCCATTCTGTGGCTTATCTTTTTCCCTCTTGGAGTGTCTTTTAATGAATAGTGTTTTTTTTGTTCTTGTCTATTTCACTACTTCTCAAACTGTGGACCATTAAAAAAATTTTCTAGTCATTGGAGGATGGATACTTTAGTAAAATGCAATAAAAATAAATTAATATAGAACTAAAATAAACAAAGATATTCCGATTATAAACCCCGTTTTTTAATTAAATAGATATAAAATTCCCTTGTCAAATTGTTACAAAAGCTTCTAAAAACTTCCTGTCAGTGTATCTCCTTGCCTTGTTACATTCTAATAACAAAAAGTTACAGACTGGCACAAGTGCTAGAAGCATAAATTGAGCAACCTTCTAGCACTTTCCTCATCTTTCTTCTGCTGCTGTTGCTTTTTGTCAGGCAGGAGCTCCCTGCCAATTCTGACCATTCACCTGTCAGAGAAAATTAAGCATAAGGCCCAAGCTTCCTGTTTGTTGAACGTGTCACCTCAAAGCAGACTCGTACTCACCCTGAGATCTTTAATGAACTGGCTCTATTTCTGGTGAGAGCTGAAGCCACACCTTCTCATGAGCCACTCCCACCAGCCAAATGGGTTGTTTACTGGCCCCAGTAGAATGAGAACTAAATGCAGGTTTTGTGTGTCTGAAATGGTGTTTATTTTCTCATTGCAAGGCAGGGTTGTTAGAGCTTTTAGCTGCTGGGCAGGAATTCTGATTTCTACACTTGGCTGAATATACAGACTGTTACAGTTTTCGTTACTATGTAGATTTAACATTGAAAGTATATGTGTCGTTATAAGAAGTGTGTGTGTCTGTGTGTGTGTTACAAGAATATCTTCACCAGGTATTTCACTCCATTTTATGCATTTGTTTTTCCAACAAACATGAACTTTTTTGATTAGGCAACTGCTCCAAATTGGGGAGAAGTCATCTTGGGAGACTGGGTCAAACAAGGGTGTTAGAGTTGGACCCATCTGGGTTTGGATAATAACTGTTCCTTGTACTGATTGATGAGCCATTCATTCATTCATTCATTCATTCTCCCATCCCACATCTGGCAGGGCCCTAGGTGCTGTGTATACAAAGTTGAGCAAAACTGTCCCAACCGTAAAGGGGTCTCTGGTAAACTGAGTGCCTCAGAGGAGACAGAAAAGCAGTAGACCATGAGGTAGAAGGAAAAGCTAGAAACCGAGGTATCGCAGAAGGTGAAATTTTAGGGGAAATGTGTGTTTCCAGATGGAAGAAGTGCTCAGTGAGCTCAAAGGCTGCAGAGATCAAGTAAATGACAGCTAGAAAATGTGTGTTGGCTTCACAGTGTAAGAAGGTTCTGGTGGCCTTGTGTTTTCAGGGTGTATGTGAGGAGTGGGATGCACCTCAGCCACACAGCTGTAACTACAGGAATGAGCTGGGGGTGGAAGAGGACCAAGGGAAGACAAGAGAATTAGGGAAGAACCAATGGGTAGAGCTCAAGAGGATCAGGGGGCCAAAGAGGTTGTGGGGGTTTGTTTTGTTTTGTTTGCTTGCTTTTATTGTTTTAACATGGGAGAGACTTAACCTTATTTAAATGACAGTGGAAAGGCTTAGAAGAGAAGAGGAAACTCAATAATTTTCTTGATTTCCCTGAGCCTTAATTTGCTCGGATGAAAAAATGGATACTATTTATCACATAGAGTTACCCCATGGGGTTCCCACAGGTGCCTCACTTAGAAGAGGACCTGTGACATGGTCTGGGCTCAACGAATGTTCGTTCTTTCCCTTTCGCTCTCATGCTGATCAGGGAGGGCATTCAGGCCCTTTCACTTAAGGGATCTACAGGGATTTGTGCACGAGCCTGGCTCCTCGCTTCCATGTGTGTTATTGACTCTAGCCCCTATTACAACAAATAATCAAAGGCAGTCTGTGACCTCCACTGTCTGTTACTTGGGTGAGAAGTTAATCTTTGCCAGCAGGTGTCTCAGAATCTGAAACCCAGCAGCTGGTCCTTTCATAAAGGCATGGCCCATGTGGCTTTAGGACTTGATGGAGACCCCATGGGCAAGCAGCTGGTAACTTTCTAACCTGTGGCTCCCGGGCATTCCATACTTGTGGCCCAGCTGCCTCACTTCTCCAGGGAGCACTCGTCTCCTTGGTACTGGGCCAGCGACTGACCCTCCCTTCACATCGTGCGGTTGTCAAGGATTTCTCCCTGCCCCCACCCTAGAACATTTCCTTGTGAACGGCTGGAGCCTACTGCAAGCCTGCTGGTGGAACCCACCCATAGACACTGCCCTAGGAGCTCCTCTGCTGAGGGTGAGATAGCATCCTTGCCCCTTATTCCCCTCATGACCTCTTCAGGCCCAGAGAGCCTCAAGGCGCAGGTACCTTGGAGATCAAGACTTAAAAGAACTTGGGGCTCAGAAGGGTTTGGTCTCAGAGATTTTGGGGGCTTAAGGGCTCAGGGCTACTATGAAGACTATTTCATTGAAATCTGTCATTGTTTGGGCATTTGAAGACTGGCTGGGTGACTTGGGTGAGATTCTCCAGAAGCAGAGCCTATTCAGATGCACGTGGTTTGTTGAGGGAGAGGGGAAGTTAGGGAAGCAGAATAGGTGAGGTGAAGGAGTTAAGGATGTGGCCTCAGCTGGATTCTTGCTTTGCCTGATCCCGTGAATTGCACCACAGGGTTGGTCCCAATGGGAAACAAGGGGACCAGCATTGAGTTCCTCCATGTCAGTGTGTCATTGGCTGCAGGCTGCTGGGCATGAAGGGCATGTGGCCTGAAGCCTCCCAGGTGAGGCTCCCACTCCACCAAGGGCTATTCTATAGAGAACGGGGTGGCTGTGAACCAGTAGGTGCCAACACTCACTGGGGGATGGTCCACTGGCCTGGGAAAGGGAACATGGGCAGGACACCAACAGCAGTCACTATGGTGGAGAATTTAGTTGCTCATTAAAGCATCAATTCAGTGGAGCAGTGATTTCAAAAAAAATTCATTAGTAAGGTGAGGACCGCCTGAATGAGCTTGCTGAAATTTAAAATTTGTGATGATGAACAGGCATGAACCCAGAGGGGCACGTACACCTGGGGGGATGGTGCAAGAAGGTACCTTGGGCACACCGCCCAGGTTGTATGTTTACCGCAATGTTAAGGTCACCTCAGGTGGTGGTGGTGAGGTCTCTCACTTAAGCACAGGGACTTTAGCCTGGACCATTAACCTAAATGAGTGCGAATTTATTTAACTGCCATTTTCGCCCCTCTGTGTATGGTATTTCTCTAGCTTTAGTTCCTAGAGTCCGGGTCTGGGTCTGGCCATTTAGTTTTCCATTCTCTTGTCCGAATCCACATCTTCTTGGTTTCCATTCCCAGTTGGGCAGTGCGAGATGTCTGTCTTACCTCTCTACCGTTCTCAGTATCTAACTATAATTGATTGTCTCCTTAATTACAGAAAAATCCTGATGCTTTGCTCCCAATTGTGTATGCAAGAGAATTTTATGCTACATTTCGTTTCCTTTGGGCTTCTTGTTACATCAAGTTCCATATCCATCTTCAAGACCATATTTTCTCTCTGGCCACTTGCACCCCAAGAACACTCTCTATCTCCCAGCGTTCTAAGTGGCCACCGTTGGCCATGTGACCCCAGTGTCAGTGCCCATGTGGGTCCCACTTATGGCCTTCCTAAGGTGCCCTCGTGGTTCCCTTGGTATACTGACTACTCCTGTCCTCACTGTCCTGGCCCCACGTTGTCTTCGACACCTCAGCTCTCTCTTGGCTTCAGCACTCAGCAGTCCTGTGACCTCTGCCCCGGGTTGTAGGTGAGACTGTTTATCCTGTCTGCGACTGGGGTGGCTGGGAGAGAAGAGCTGCTGGCAAGAGTAGCATAAGACAGATGACCCAGGAAGTGAGAGACTCATAGACTCTTCCTCTATGATTTGCCCCTTATTCCTCCTTTAAAACTTGCCCTGACAAAGGGTGTCTGCCAAGTGTTCAGACAGACTCCGAAAGGCCTTCAAGACTTTCCACCCCAAGCTCCAAGGGTTCTGTTTGTACTTTCTGGTCTGTAGTATCAGGAAAGTGAGTGACACCAAACTTGACCTCACTCCACAAGGCCCACCACCTCTGGGTCCAACAACAAATAGAGAGCCTTTCTTTTTTCCTCCCCTGGTCTGCCACAGCTGTGGAAACAAGATGCATTCCCTGGTTAGGCACTGAGAAAATAACTATCATAAACCAAACACTTGTTCCATGCCATCTCTGTCCCGGGAGTTGTTTTTTTGTTTTTGTTCTGTTTTTTAACAAGTCTATTGAGGGGTTAATTTGCATACAATAAACTGTACCTATTTAAAGTATAAAAGTCTCAGTTGTCACAGCTGTATACACCCATGAAACCATCATCACAACCAAAATATAGAACATTTCCATCCTCCCCAGGTCTCTTTGTGCCCCTTTCTATGAGAGGAGTTTTGCACACTTTATCTGATTCAAAAATCTGAGAGTCAAAATGGCTAGCTCCACTTGACAGATAGGAAAACAGGTACAGAAAGGGTCGGT